GGCAATAATTATTTTATACGTCATCAGCATACCTGTATGGCAACCACGTGAGGTGATCAGGCGACAAAACATACCAGTCAGTCATGACCGAGGGGCGCAATTGTTATTTAACTAACACGAACACGAAATAAACAAAACTGTTTCACAGCCGACGTCATCTGTATTGTTAAACGGAGTGTTCCTCATTTGTATGGGGTTTTGAATTGAAACAGCCATCTTTAAGACCATTCAGCGTAGTTCACAGCCCTGCCCCCCCCCCCCCCCCTTAAGACCTAACACGCTCCAGTTTATGAGCCACACGCCCGCGGAGACGTGCAGACCATTTCGGGGAGAGTACTTTAAGTCACCCAAGTATCCACGACGCTATGAACACGTAATTCGAATCGTGCCATTTCATTCGCCATGCGACGATCAAGGCCAATAAAATACTGTTGTCGAGTCGTTCATATCTGGCGTTGGTGACCACGATTTCCAGATATATTGGCCGCCAATTGGCCTTCAATCAATGTCGTGCGAGGTACAATGACGTAATCAAACAGTGGTGTATGGAGGAGCATATTTACGAAACAGAGAAAATGCGTTGTTTAAAGCAGCTTTTTGCACTTTAAAGTATTCCAGTAGTCACAAGCGAGCGTATTTAATCATATCTGATACTTGTTTCAATATTTTGACATGTGTAACATACCCTCTGAGTCAATATTTTTGTCAATCCCGAAGCAACATCCGAACCATAGTGTGGGAACGATTGCTAACCGGGGCAGCCACCACTGGGATCGGCGGCGTCCCGACCTCAATAACTCTGTCAGAACTGGACTATTCCCGTGTCTGGCCTTATAAAATGTTACAAAAACAGCCACAGTAAAAGTTAAGGCGTGGTCACATTCATGGTCACGAGCAAGTGATATGAAATTTGGAGCCCCAAAAATCACAAACGACAGCCGGCTTCTTCATCCCCTTGCGTTCACGTTTCTCTGGGCCCCGCGCTTTTTCTTCTCCAATTTTCTCTCCAAACCAATTTACAATTTGGCGGAACGGCTGCGACGTCGCCGCCCGCGGAAAGGGAGGGACATTGCAGACGGGGCAGGGCGGCCGGACATGGTCGGCGGTCTCCCGCCGGCCGCGCCCGCCGCCGGTCGAAGCGGGCCGACCGGCGGCGGCGGTGCGTGAGCCGACTGAAATGTTTGCCGACTCCGCCGGGACCGAATATGGAATAAAAACCGGCCGGCCGGCACTGGCGCCGCCCGATGACCACCCGGGGATTCGGAGCGTCTGCCGGGCCCGCCCACGTCCTCGGCGCCCCGCGGCCGACGGAAAACAATCCGCCGGCTGGGACCGAGCTGCCGTCGATTGAAGTGGCCGACGGGGGCGCCGCGCCGGTCGGCGGGGGCTCCTCGCTGAAGGTGCGGCGCGACCACGACGCGCGTCGGGGATGCCGCCCCCGGTGTGCCGCCTATCGACCGCCACCGACGAGCGCCGATCATCGGCTGCCGGCCGTCGGGCCGACGACGGGCCCGGGCCGGCTTTGCTGACCCAGCAGCGACTGGGACGGCCTCCTTCTCTCGGCGCCCGCCTCGCCGCTGACCTGACCTGCGTGCCGGCGGACCGGCACCGGAGCCGCCCGAGTTGCCGCCGAGAACCGATGACAGCCTCAGCGGCGCTGACAACAGGGCGTCACGAAACGGCCTATGGCTGGCATTGCAAAACGGCTGGCGCCACGGAGCCGCTGGTGAGGTAGACCATAGACACGGTAGGTGTGACGCACTGAAGCTACTATGGTCACGAACAGACGCACAGACTGCGGTCTCCGACCGGCTAATTTACTTGAGTTATAGACGGAATGATTGGCCGAAGCCACCGAGTGACCGGAGGAGCGCAGTCAAGAAGTTGCACACAGCCTGCTAGTGGATTGGCCGTGAGAGCTCCACGGCTTGTCTCAACACACGACGCTTCGCCTCGGCCGCCGTGATTCGCCGGCGGCGCCCGGTGGAGCATAAGGAAATGTACCGGGGAGCGACAGGCAGATTGAAAAAGAAACAAGCAAAGACAAGGCAAAACGTGTGGTCATTTCATAATGTGGTGTCATTCTACAGTGTTTGTTGTATTGTCCGACCTTCCACGGTCAGACAAGTGTCGCGAGCGTTGTGGTACACACCTAGCCTTGCAAAGAGTAGCACTGACCCACTCATGTCGGCCACTCAGGGTTGAGGGTATTTGCCGAGTAATGCTACAACACGCGCAATGCCCCAACATGACCCCCTCCTCCATGTGTAGAGGACGGGGCAATGACGTCTCCACATCTCCTCCCATCTCATATTAGCCATGTAGTGGCGCATGGAACGAATATCTAAGAAGATATCCCCCTCCCCCCGTCCCCCACTCACACACTTCTTTGGACACCTTCTGCAGCTGTTTCCGAGTTCTCCATCACAATCCACCCTTATTGTGAACGTGTGAAGCGAGCGCAAGGAGGCACGCCTGAGTTCCACATCCAGACCTCCAAGCCCACAACCGAGCTTTCAACGCGGTTCGCTGCTGCCTTGGCTCCGTTAAGATGAGGCCTTACATGGTGTATCAAGGCCCCTGGAATACAGGCTCAGCGTCTGGGGCGCGTCAAACGATCGGGCTGTTTGCAGAACGTTAGACTCGTGTACCAACCCGCTTAAGCTCAAGCTACTCGAGCCCCAGTCTGAGGGAAGATCAAAGCAATGGAGGGTAATTTGTTCGCTCATCTTCACCCCAGCTCCAAAGTCAGCGGGCTGAGAAGGCTCTTCTGGTTCACTATATGTTTCGCCAGCACATCGCCAAAATGAGACCATCACAGCGTGGTGCCGACATGTTCTCATCAGAACATAGCAACACGTCCAAAATCACGCAGCGTGCGGTCAATGTGGGCATCAAATGGGGCTTCTACAAGCGTGTTTTTTTTTTCTCGGCTCCGCCCGGGGCTGGAAGCCGAACAGAACCAGCAATTCAGTCCAAGGTCAGCAGCGTTTCTGTGCCGATTTTCCAAGTTCCATCACATCTGCATACCTGATCACAAATATCCCACCACCAACCACCGTCAGCGTAAACTTCCCGCGTCTCTGGAAAAGTCTCGCACGGTAATCGTCGACAGAACTTCCGCCCTCGGATTTTGTCCTAGATTTGGTGGTTCAGCGACAGATGGCTTTGGGAGCTGATTTGGGTGCTGTCAAGCCCGCCTCCGCAGACCGATGGAAGTGCGTTAAACAAACGCTGGATGAATAGAATCGGAACGATGGAAGGGAGCGGGCGGCTGGATGACAGACCACAAGGAAAAGGCGTGAAATTGAAGACAGATGGTGACTAAATGGAGGATAGAAAACGGACGGCAGAGGGCGCTTCCTATCGTGGTCGCCGGTTAGCCGAGGACCGAGTCAGAAATAGTCTGTGATATTCCCTTTCCTAGCTTCAGCAAAAACATAATAGCATGTTTGAAGTATATGACGTAGAACAAAACAACAAGACCGGAGTGAGAAAACTGCTCACATTGCACGTGACTGTCTACCTTAAATTGGGACATAAATTATGGAACATTGCATTCACATGCGTGACACGAGTTGTTGACCGCTGGGCAAACACGCTGAGCGTGGCTATTGACTGCTGGGCAACACGCTGGGTGTGACTGTTGACCGCTGGGCAGACACGCTGCGGATGACTGTTGACCGCTGGGCAGGCACGCTGAGGGTGACTGTTGACCGCTGGGCAGACACGCTGAGCGTGGCGTTGACCGCTAGGCAGACACGCTTAGCGTGGCTGTTGACCACCGGGCAGACACGCTTAGCGTGGCTGTTGACCACCGGGCAGACACGTTGGGGGTGGCTGTTGGCTGCTGGGCAGACACGCTTAGCGTGGCTGTTGACCACTGGACAGACACGCTGGGGGTGGCTGTTGGTCGCTGGGCAGACACGCTTGGCGTGGCTGTTGGTCGCTGGGCAGACACGCTTGGCGTGGCTGTTGACCACTGGGCAGACACGCTGGGGGCGGCTGTTGGTCGCTGGGCACACACACTTGGCGTGGCTGTTGGCCGCTGGGCAAACACGCTGGGCGATGCTGTTGGCGGCTGGACAGACACGCTGGGCGTATTGGCTGACTTCCGCCCATGACTTGGCATCTCCCCAGTCCACCGCTCCGAACTGAGTCAGTGTGGTGTTCCCCCACTGGCTCAATCTCCAGGATAAAGCTGACCAGCGGGGCAGGTCGACAGACTCGGACGCGAAAGGGCGTTTTGCTCGGCTCTCGGGACCACGCAAAACGCATCTCCTGTTATGGGGGAGGGGCAGACCGAATCTGCCGCGCTGGGTTTGCGGTGATCTCGGAAAAGGCGGGACAGATATGCGGTAGTAAACTGTCTTGTCTCCAGAAGATGCGGGCGAGCTAATCAAGACTTCCCTGTGCCGACGGATTTCAATCACGTTAAATATGCAAACAACACGAAACGTCCGCGATGTTTCCGTGCTCTTCGCTGATTGTGGAACTTAATCGCGATGCAACAAAATACGAGATCTTATCAGCTTTGCTGGTGAGAGCTCGGCCGCGTGATTGGTGCTCACGACTTGGTCCCGTGGCAACGGTGACACAAAGCACCACTCGCGGTCTTCTCCACAACGTGCGTTTTTGCTGTGCTAGTGAGAAAATGAATGAAGCAGAACACCAAGCTACGAGGCAGCCAAACCGCGGGCTGAAGGATGACGACCTGGCTAAGAAGTGTGAGGAACGAGCTTCGTGGTCCAGTATCAATTTTCCAACGCAAATAAACGGCGCCCACCAGCGGCGCAACAGCCGCCGGCGGCGCCTCTCCGCATAATGGCCGGGTAACGTTCGCCAGTCCTGAGCTACACCAGTGAACCTCCGCCGCCGGTGAGCTGCAGCGGGCGACTGCGCAGTGAATGATGGCCAGTGAGGCTCTGCATGGCCTCACCAGCTGGTCAAATGGGCCTCCGCGGTGGCAAGCGCGGGCCACTGCTCGCGTCAACACGGAGCCGGCTTCTAATACATGTATTAAACGAAATCACAGCTAATGGGTGTCCGGAGGGCTACAAAAATAATATGTATATATACACCGTCAGGAACAAACCCGGACACGCAAACCAAAGCACAAGCAGGCCTAGACGCTGACCATGATTTGCGATGTCCTGCCAAGAAAACCGGTGACAATACCAAGCAGTACGGTGCTATGCAGACCACCGCCACCTTTTCGTGGCCTTTTGACCAGCTCCAGTTCAGATTTACGCGACCACTGGCCTCAGGGAGGCGCCGAAGAAACCCAGCCAGCGGCAATCGGTACATAATCGCCATGGGCTGTATAGTGCTGGAACGTCCGCGCGGGGTCCGAGCGGCGTGGGCGTACGGCGTGCAGGCCTCGAAGCTGTGTCGCCGGCCTGGCTGCCACAGCGTGACTCGATGCCTGTCATACACCAGTGCGGCCACACAAAACCGGCCTGATAGCAAATCAGCAGACGAGTCATAGATCCCAGTGTTCACGGCACGTCTGTAAACGCCAGGTGGGCCGGCCAAACTACCAAGAGCACGCCACACAGCTAAGTTATGTCTACGTTACGGGTGAGACCCCCTCCCCGCTGAAGTCCCGCACTCTGACCGCTGACCAAGCTAGGCACGACGAGCCTACACAGGTGGCCTTCAGCAGGAGTCGGTGCCTGCTACCGCTCATACTGAGAGACGGGATACCACGCCGCTTCAAGAGCAGCCGTTACCTGCCCTAGGCTCCAAAACCCGGCTCTCCAGAGAAGAGGTCCAACATATCCCCGCACAGGGACTCCACATATGCCCCCCACACGGGGACTCGACACATGTCCCTCACGCGGGGAGTCCACACATGTCTCACAAGTGGACTCACAAACGTCCCGCACGCGAAGAATCTGCATATGTCCCGCATAAAATGAATCCACAAGTCATGCCCACGGGGAGTCCACATATGTCCATCACACGGGGGACCCATACAGTTCCTCACACCAGACGCCGGCTCATGTCGACTGCAAGAAGAGCCCCGCACTTCCCCGCCACACACACGGAGCTGGGACACCGCATCTCACAGCGCGGGTCGGCGCACGCCAGCCCCGCACGAGGCGGCGCCGACACAGCACACCCCGCGGGGGACATCCGGCAGCGCCAGCGCTTCATTGAAGAACCAGTACAAGTGCCGGCGTCGTCCTCCACACCCAGCGCCGCGCAGCGCGCTACTGGCCTCCCGCGTCCCGCCCGCTCACGACAGGTAGGTGCGCACGGTGCCGCGGATCGGCTGCCGACAGAGCGGGCAGTCGCGCAGCGCCGGCGCGCAGTTGACGCACGTGATGAGGTGGCCGCACGGCAGGAACACCACGCCCACGTCCTCGTCCATGCACACCTTGCACTGCTTCTGCTCTTTCAGTCGGATGAACTCCTCCTCCAGCGAGCTGGGCGTCGTGGCCGACGGCGTCGACACTGCGGGCGCGCGGGGGAGGGGGTCAGAGCGGAGGAGAGGGGGTGAGTAAGGGGGGAGGGGTCAGAGCGGAGGAGAGGGGGTGAGTAAGGGGGAGGGGTCAGTGTGAGGGAAGGGAGCAGAGCGGGGTGGTCAGTGTACAGGGCCGGCGTTGCACAGGGGGCCAGAACGGCAGGACAGCACACCAGATTGTACTCAGCTGTTGCCGAGTGAGACCGACACGCTATCCATACGCCAGGCAGTATAGAATGCGGCTATTTGAGCCACTAGCATGCTTCATAAATGCACTTAAAAAATGTGTACTTACAGCTTGCGGGACAGAGTAAGGCAGTGGCAGAAAACGTAAGGTGACTAAATCGTGCCAACGACATACACATAAACAGACATCCCTCTATTCCACGCACCGCAGGGCCACAAATTACCGCTGAAATATCACCATCTTACACAACCCACGAAGGCCGCGAGCCCTCCCCACCCCCAGCGCGCACGTGACGCAAGTGCGTGTGGGACGGCACTCAGTGTGCTGGCGAGCCCGCACCTGAGGCCGGTGACAGGAGCCGGGGCGTCTCGCCGCCGCTGCCGCCGTTGTTGGTCACGGTCGACTGGCTGGACTCGCTGCTGGCCTCGCTGACCTGACTCGTCAGTGCCCGCTCATCGGCGTCGCGGCGTCCGCGGGGCTGTCGGAGAGAACGCTCGTGTTACTGTCGTCACGTCCTGGGCAGGGCAGCACGACAATCGCCGTCGCAGACTTCTCACGCCGCACGCCACTGTACGAGATTCAGTTCTTCCACAAGACTCACGTACCGGAACACTGACACCCACGACAGTTCGACACTAATCGTAAAATGCGTACAATGTCAGTTTCCAGGTCAAAGTGCACAATGCGCAGCCATCCACGGTTTTTTCCGGGGTCAGATTCTGACCCACTGGTTGGCCACACCGCTGCTACCATCTACATCAGTTCTGTCGCGTCAAGAGTGCATGGCGGGGCGGCAACTGTGCTCAGGGCCATCTAGCGGGTGATGCCACAACTGCTGATGTCGGCGCCAGATGGCCTTGCGCCGACTCCAGAGGCCTCGGCAATGGAACTATGAGAACCTGGGAAACGATGTGATGTCCACCGCTGCAGCACCAGGTGCCACCACCTACCCCTCGTTCGTCGCTTCCATGTCCTCGTCCTCGGAGCCGGACGTCAACCCATGCCGGAGTCGCCGCCCGCTGGAGGCCGCCGACAGGGGTGAGGCCGCACGCCCATGGCTCGGTCCCGCCGCCCCTGACAGCTGCCGGACGGCACGACACGTCAGCCGGCTCCGCGCAACAACAGTCCCACACGCGTCCGCCAGACGGGCCCACCACACCGCCTCGGACAGGGTCCCATCGCGCGGCCGGACACCAACCGCCGCACTGCCAGCGCACCGTTGTGCGCTTAGCTGGGCGGCACGAGCTCGGTTGACAATCGCGTCGCCGTCGCCGCCTCGGCGCCGCGGGGACGCGTCAGCCGGCGCCATCTGTCGCCCGAGCCGGCCGCCGGCCGACCGCATGCGGGAAGATCATCAGGTGGAGCTCCGCGAATGACGAACACCAAGAGGCATTCGTGGTGCCTGATGAGCCGATTGCATTGAAAAACGATGTCGTCATTTTTGCGACCTTGTCCTTCTTAAGGCTTAAGTAGATAAACTACAGATGACAACTGCACGTATCGCCGGGCGTCGTTTCCTTGTGGTATCTTTTTGCAAACGAAAATGAGGAAAAGTTTTGCCACCCTTGGGGTGAGCAAAAGAATGGCCATCCGAGAACGACCAGTATAATCGAACGATCTTGTCCAATTCCGGAAAGCTAATCCACTGAATCATTGCACCACCTGGTTTTACCATCCACGTGCGTGTGTGTGTGCGTGTGTGTGTGGAGGGACCAGCTGCCGCGCCGGCATGGCCTGTCCACCGCTGTCCGGCCGGCGGTCTGTCTGCCACTGTCCGGCCGGCGGCCCGCCGTGCGCGGTGGACTCCGCTCGGCGACGGGTGCGAGCTGCTCCTCCGCTGGAGTCAGCTGGGCGCCGCGGCCCGCCGGCCGGTCTGACTGACCGGCGCACAGCGTCCGAGCATCCAACCCCGGCGGCATCCACCGCCCGACCCCGGCGGCGTCCGACTACCCGACCCCTCCGGCACCACCACCCGACCCCGGCGGCGTCCACTACCCAACCCCGGCGGCGTCCGACTACCCGACCCCGGCGGCGTCCACCGCCCAACCCCGGCGGCGTCCGACTACCCGACCCCGGCGGCGTCCACCGCCCAACCCCGGCGGCGTCCGACTACCCGACCCCGGCGGCGTCCACCGCCCAACCCCGGCGGCGTCTGACTACCCGACCCCGGCGGCGTCCGACTACCCGACCCCGGCGGCGTCCACCGCCCAACCCCGGCGGCGTCTGACTACCCGACCCCGGCGGCGTCCGACTACCCGACCCGGCGGCGTCCGACTACCCGACCCCGGCGGCGTTCACCACCCGACCTCGGCGGCGTCCACCACCCAACCCCGGCGGCGTCCCACTACCCGACCCCGGCGGCGTCCCACCACCCGACACCAGCGGCGTCCACCACTCGACTCCGGCGGCGTCCACCACCCGACCCCTCCGGCACCGCTACACGACCCCGGCGGCGTCCACCACTCGACCCCGGCGGCGTCCACCACCCAACCCCGGCGGCGTCCCACTACCCGACACCAGCGGCGGCCACCGCCCGACCCCGGCGGCGTCCCACCACCCGACCACTTCGGCGTCCACCACTATCGTCCGTGAGTCACACATCCGATACATCCGAGGCAGCATGAGTTGTCCGCCCCACCCATAACAAGCGTGGTTCCCCGCACTCCGACAACCGGCGCCATGCTCTCCTGCTGCGTCACGTTACTCAGCCGTATCGGTGCACGACGGGGCACCGACTGCGGCGCCCCGCCCGGCCGGCCGCGCCGTCCCCGCCCCGCCCCGGACCGCCTGCCGACGGTGCGCCGGGAGTCTCACCTGGTCGTCGTCGGCGGCGACGGCGGCGGCGGCGCCGGCGCATACGTGCCCTGCGTTTGGTCCACCGCCATGGCCAGCACCGAGCTGAGGTCGGTGAACGGCACGCCGGTGGATTCGAGCCGCTGCTTCAGCACGCGCTTGACGGCCTCGCGCGCCACGCCCAGCTCCACCGCCGTCTGGCGGGAGGACGAGCTCGGTGTCAGGGCCGGTCGCGGACATCGCGGCGTCACACACGCACGACCGGACTCGGAGGCGATTCAGGGTGCAACTGCAAGCCCCCCCCCCCCCCTCGATCGGGCAGACATCGCACTGAACCGAAGATTGAATCGCACTGAACCAACGATGAACCGACGACAATCGGGCCCCCCAACACGGACCATGACGTCACAAAGCGTTCACCAGGACGTAGATCTAATCCATACAGTACACTACAGGAAGAGCGGCTCTTTCACATGTGACCAGGAGTACACCCGGAGCCAGCACACAAGCCGCCATCCTGACATCCCCCCCCCCCCCCCGCCGGCGGGCGCTGAAGGCGACGCACCTTGCAGATGGCGTTCTCCATCATCTTCTCGACCTCCTCGTCGGAGAAGGGGCACCGCTTGACGGCCGTGTCGGCCGGCGCCGCCTGCGGCACCGCCTCCTGCGGGTGTTCGCGCAGCACGTCCTGGATGAAGTCGTCGCCTTTGACCAGCCGCACGAAGCCGCAACGGCTGAACCAGCGCGCGTGCTCCGTCCACGGGTTGTCGCCGGGCACCCAGTTGCGCAGGCCGCCGTCGCAGTGGAAACACTTGACGTGGTCCGACACACCTGCCGACGACGAGAGGGAGGGCCAAGGCGTCAGTGGGCGCCAGGACTCGCTCCAGCCACCGGCCAGCACGGTCGGCGCTCGGGTGGACCAGGGCACTCGACAGAGTGGCTGAGGCAGCGCGTCGGCTGGACGGCCGGTGACGCTGGGCTTAGATGACAGTAAAGGCTGCAGTTGGGACGCGCGGGAACGGCACTGTGTCCAAACTTGGCACGCCGTGCCCAGAGGGGTACTTAGCTGGAGTGAGCCACGCCTAAGCGGGGCATAAGCAACCCACCATACAAAATTACCAATCCTGAATCCAAAGAACAGAGGGCAAGGGAGAAAGTTATCAGCCTTCAGCAAAAACGAAGATTCAACCCGTTTTTAGAGCCATTTGAACATTTACGCCCGGCTCGAGCGATATCCATCTCAATCTAAGGAAAACTTTTCGCCCATCCATATCACGTATCAGTGGAAATGGCTGTTGAGGGTCATGAGACGATTTGGATCATACTGTGCAATTTTAAGCTCAATCGGAGTAGCGGTGGTCAATGTATGGCCTTGGGGTACTTTGTTGAGATTTACATGCCAAACAGCCATCCTTAGTGGTCACTTCTTGACACAAATGGTTGAAGCATAACATAAACGGACACGTTTCGATTCGCCTTGAAAAGATACATTACTTGCAAACTTTATAGATTTGTTCTTTTCCTTCCCACCTTATGCGACCTTAGGTGATGCAATGAGATCTGGGATGAGAAGGGGGAGGCAAAATGCGTTTTTTTTTAGGTAAAATGGACCACCACTATCGCTGGCTTTCGATGACAAAAATTAATGGATGGATCCCTCCTACAAGATTGATTTGAGAACTACATAGGAATGAAGAAATGTATCGTAGAGTCCTATAGATCGTTTCAATCAATAGGTTTGGAAAAAACTCATTCCCATTTTATGGATATCAACCGTCAAAGACAAGTAGTTCTCTAGCTAAAAAACGAATCTTTTCACGAGGACCTTCTAAGCTCAGCATTTCACAGTTCCCTGGAGTCTTTTACCCAGTCGTACACGGTTCCTAAGACCATACATGTTGATGAGGTGAACGAATAAAATCCCGGCCAATGACTAATTTCCTCAGAGTATCCCAATATCTAACTTTATCAATATACCGCCTATTTCATTGCAATATAAAAATCCCAAATATGACCATTTAGCATGAAACCTTTCGAGCATTTCCGAGGTAATAGTTGGTCATCTACCTCAGAGCGAGCTAAAAATTACACGGCACCGTTCAATGCACATAAATGCCTAGCAAACAAACTGAAATCAGCATGGATCAGGGTATAAACGTGTCATTGTATCAGTGCATTTCTTATGAAATTCCCGCAAAGGTCAAGAGATGCAAGTTGTTTTAGCTGTGTCGGCATTAATGTTTGTGTCAGCGTATTTTCTTTTCAGCTTCTCCAGCTACGATGTGCAGAATTTTCCTGGTCGCTCTGCAGCTTAGCGACAATTGCTAAAAGTTCACGATGCACTTGGGTCCCGGTGCTACCCAATCTTCCGTACCATAAGGCTAACAATATCGACAAGCTGCAAAGCGGCCTAGAAAACTTGGCCCACCCACCGGGTCCGCAATCTATGGCGAAACCAAGGAGCCAAGGGGTAAGCCGCCAGCAATTCTGGGAAGCCCAAGGTTGAGTGGGCTGAATAACACAAACTTACCCAAAAAGGTCAAAGGACTTAACGTCTGCCTTTAATGAGACAGCCATCCACGATTTCTTCATCAAGAACTAGTCAGTGCGACTCCACTCTGAGCCCAAATACTGCGCATGTTCCATCCATCGCGTCACGCCCCGCCGAGTAATGGAATGCCACAGCACACACTGTTCAATGAAAATGATACAGCTTGAAATCACACACCACGAGGCCAACACAGTATGGTTTTTCGTCAATCCTTTCGACAAGTCACAAACAAATATGGTTGAAATGAGTGCCAACGCGTTCTGAGGGGACGTCTCGCGACAGCAGACGGCGAGAGACGCGCAGCACCGGACACGACTGCAGGACGAGAGGCCTCCCGCTGCCGGCTGACTAGAGGGACGCGGAGCGCATGTTTTTTGGGGGCCATTAGCCGGCTGCGGCGCAGTTCCCCGCCCCCGCCCCCGGTGGGGGGGGGGGGGGCAGGGAGCCGCCAGTCGTCGGTCACGCCCCGTCCCCGGCCCGGGCACGAGGCCAGATCGATGGCGGCAGAGTCGGCCACCCTGTGCCTGTTCTCAGGAGCCACCGCGTCAGGGAGCCGGCGCGCCCAAACGCAGCCGAGCCCCGTTTTAGAGGCCACAGTGGGACCAGCGTTGACCAATGTTCGGCAAACGCATTGAAGGACGCCACTGCGGAATTCGGATTGGACTTTATGTTGGCGAGCTTCCGCGAAGCCCGGCCGCGGCCTCCAGCGCCTCCCTGAGACCCGGCTGGCGACACTTCCACAAACTCCGCGCGGGTGACTCACCTACCAGCGGCCGGGAACGGCGGCCGGCGCGCCCGCCGCCAGCACGCGACGTCATCGTACGTGGAAAGGGCGGGGGCTCGTGCGGGCAACCGGCCGAGCATGTGCGTCAGCAGGGGGCCATCTCGTCCGGCCGCGGTCTGGGCTCAGTACGCGGTCTGTCGGGCTGCTCCCGCCTCGGGGTATATTAATACCAATTTTAGATATCTGGCGTTGGCGGAAATGTGCGTAGTCAGTGATCATTAACCTACTTAAACGGATTTTAGTGTTGCATGGAGATGACCCCACTTCACAGCATTTATAAATGAATCTCCACAGGCTTTGGCAAAAACAAGCAACAAGGGCAGTACT